TTAAAACTTTTTTTTTTTTTTTTGATCATTTGTGAATTTATAGCACTACTAATAGTTGGAATACCTGATATAGCCTGATCCATGACTCGTTGACTGACATTTCGTATATGGTTCTAACTATAAAACTATATGCTGGTAATGTTGGGGCACGCCTTAAAGTAAAGTGCTCCTCTCCAGGTCGACCATGTCAACTAGTCAATAATAGACTGACATTTCTTTATTGTTTTCAATGGTTGTTACTCAAATCCGGGCTGACTCTTGAACATTTTTGAACTATGCAGGTCTGATTATACATATGTGGGGTATTTGTCACGACTCGATTTTCGAGGCTTCGAAAATCAGACCGTGAACCAAAAGGCGAAATCGAAAACAAACAAAAAGAAAGTAGAAGAAAAGAAAAACCAAAGTAAAAATATAAAAATACTTTGAATTAAAACAAAAGAGAGAAATTTCGTTTGTTAATTATTACAAAAGAAATTGCAAATATAAAATGAAATACAAAAGACTCTAAAAGACCGAAAAGGGACTGACGCTCCGGAACGACCCCCTCTGTGACTGTACAACTCTCAAACGCTCCTCTACCTCGACCAGCAGCCAGTGAACACCTGAGAAAAATAAATGAGAACGGGATGAGTATAAAAATTATACTCAGTAAGCCACCTACTTGTAGGCTCTCTTCGCATCTTAATTTAACAGAACTCCCACGGTTCCCTAATTCGGTTCTAGGACATTGGGTTCTAACCTTAGTCTATCGGGGCTTGCCCCTTGGGTTTCACCGGTTCATCGTCCTTTCATTAGTCACCTAGAGGTTCCTTATGCCCAGCTAATATGGTCGGTATCTCTCTATGAGGCGCTACCTCTACATGGCTATCTAGAACTACATGGTACCTAGCCTAGGGGTGTGCTGAATACCCCTACGCCCATATAGTTCTCCTATGGTGGGCGCGACCCAACCCGTTCCCATGCAGCTAATGGGCTGTACGACGTGGGGACACATTTCCCATGCGAAATGGCTAAGAACAGTAAGGGCTGATCAGGGACCCTTGGTCCTCCCACGAAGCTATAGATACCGTTCTCACGCTAGCAATCTATGAACCCCCTTAGGTACTTTCTTACCGTGGTGAACCGCTAAGTTTCTAGGGGAAAATTAAGTCTGTCTAGAGCAGCATATCGCTCCTAAAAGAAATTCCCTAATCTTATCACAGAAATAGGCCCTAGCAATTAACAGAGGGTGCATGCAATCTTCTTCTAACATCATAGTATGTAATTCATGCAAACTAGGCATACCGGCTCAACGGGGCGATGACCTCCATCAAGCACCCAGAGCACGAGGTTCGCGTTCAATGGGGCGAATTCGTCCATCAAGCACCCAAAACCCGGCATACACAATTCTAACATAAATTAAACGCATGCATACGTACAACGGAAGCTTAAGGCATACAAGCAACACTCAGATAATTCACCCAACACATCATAACAATCCATCTAATTAATCTCATTCATGGAGAGCTAATTTAAGGCAAAAATTACTAACATGCATACATACAATCCAAGCGAACCCTACAAGTATTTCTTCCTAAATACCGGGTGGTGACTTACCCGATTGACGCGTGTTCTTCGTTGAGCATTTCTACACCAATAGAGTGTCCACAAATGTTGAATTTTCCCATTTAAACCCTATTCCATATAAAAATAGGGTTAGAGTTGGAGTCGGAGGGAAATCGGGCAAACAGAAATCGAACGGGCTGAAAACAGCACCTCACGCGCTCTCACGCGCCTGGGGAAGGTGCTACACGCGCACGGCCACGCGCGCGTACGGACGCGCATGAGGGAGGGGAGACGCGCGCTGAGGTGTTGCCACGTGGCGCCCGATAAACGGTCAGCCGAGGTCGAGGTCGTTGGTTCGAAACCGGAAGGGCGCGCTGGACATTCAAGTTTGTTTACGCTGACGCGTGGCAACGCGAAACCGGGTCGGTGGTCCGGGTTGCGCGCGGGTCATCGGGTCGCAAACTCGAGTAGCGGGCCGCCGGCCATCGAATCCCGCCCGACGCGAAGTATTTCTTTGATTTTTTTCGTCTCCAATGGACGCTCGACACGTGGCCCTTCTTCTCCGGCGAAGCGCATCCTCCTCCTCCTTTCTCCTCTTTGACGAACGTCGAACTCCCATTTCCGATCTGAATCGATTACAACCTCCTTCACAGGTTTTGAGCGTAATCCTCTGTAGATTAACATACTCAAATTTCAGGCTCTAACTCTTACTAGATCTCACAGATCTAAAGCAATTTCGAGAATCTGGATTCAAGAACTTTACCTTTAGATTTTTCCTCGTTTCTGGATGGTTTTGGACGATCTAAAGGTTAAGAATGTTCTTCTCTAAGTTCTGTGAAGTTTTCCTGAAGGCTCGGCCGGAACCGGACTCCTCGTGGCCGGAGCGGCGGTTACCTCCCTCTCTCTCTAGAACTTTCCTTCTCTCTCTATAATTTTCTTTCTCTCACTATTTACATTCTTTTCTTTCTGTCCTTTCTCCTTCTCTTCCTTTTTCCCCTTTATTTTTTCTTTTTCTCTTTTATTTGTATGTTACTAAAAAAAAGAGGGTATAATGACCAAATTACCCTCCAGGGATTAACCTTCACCATCCTTTTAATTTTCTATCATTTTTCTTTTATATTTTTCTTAAGTTCTTTTATTCCTCATCATTTTTCTCTTCCGTCTCATCTCGGATTTTGGTCTTTAAGACCTTCACTAAAATTGAGAGAGATCGACTTTTAAGGTAAACTTAGATTTTAAACTTTCAATTGAGGCTCGGGTATTACAGTATTTCACATCTGATGTTTCTGTAAATGCAGGCTGACACTCTGCTCATTGTACATACACAACCTGGGATCTAAATGGTACCCTCTGGAAATACTTTTGTCTTTTGGAAGTCTAATCTTCCCGTTGCTTTCTGTCAGTCTTAGTTTGGGCATAAGGATTCTTTGTGATTCTCTGTAACTTAACCATGGAGCTGACACTTGCTCCTTAACTGTATTCTGCTATATGGAAATTTGTTTGCTACTGAACTATTGCAGCAAAAAATGATTCCTCTTATTGGAAAAAGGAAGTGATTGAATATACCACTGTTGCTATAATACCTTTTAACAATCTCTGTTCAGGTTCTTGATTTTTATTTGGTTCCCTTGCAAATAAAACCTTCAAACCTTTAAATTTAGCTTTTTTAAAAAGTTTGATTATGTCATCCAATTTTGAATTATGATTGTATGTGGAGTCCTGTCAGGTAATAAAGTTATATTTGGTTTGACACGAGACGGATGATAAATAGTGAAAGGAGGTTTTAGGGTTTAGATGATAAATAGTGAAAGGAGGATTTAGGGTTTAGATGATAAATAGTGAAAGGAGGATTTAGGGTTTAGGGTTTATGGTGAAAAGGAGGGTTTAAGGTGAAAGGAGGGTTTAGGGTTTTGAATTATGATTCTAGTGTCATTTGATTTCTTTTTCAAATTGTCCACTTTTTATATAAAACCACTAAAATCACCATTGAAAGTGAAATTTAGACCTTTTAAATTTGAAAAGCAACGTATAGATCATTTGCAATGGACTCACTTTGAATTAGTTTTCCCCTTGTTAAATTTGAAAAAAGAAATATTTTTATGAAATTTGTAGGGAATGAAAATTTCTCTTAGGTAAATGATCCAAATATTTTTATACTAAACGTTCGCCAACATCTTCAACAACTAAGACTTAGACTTGATGTACAATATTGTAACAATTCAAGTTCACTATTAACAAATATTGCGCATTACACGTATGTTAAAAAAGTTTTCACACCTTTATTCTAAAGAATGCTTCGTTCCCTTTTCAACCATATGCGATCTCACAATCCACTCTTTTGGAGGCCTAACGTCATTGCTGACACATCACCCAATGTCTAACTCTAATACCATTAGTAATCGTCTAAACTCACCGTTAGTAGATATTGTCAGCTTTGGCCCGAATGTTGAATATGATGGATGTTTTATCTATTTCAATATACAATAAGCATGGTTTGGACGAGTGTTTATGTTGGGACTGAACTTTGATTCCAAGCATGGAAGTTTGATTTTTTCTGTACTTTGGAGTTCGAGGGGTTGTGTGGTTAGTTTAGCAGCAGTGTGGTATGTATAAAAAAGGGTTCGTTGTCAAGCCAAGCATGCAACCGAACCAAGCATCGGTCAGCACATGCACTTGTATCCACCGGCGTGTGTCCTCAGACAATGTCGGAGGCACTGTTTCTTTTTGCTCCATTGGCTTAGTTTCTAATTGAAAAAAAGAACAGTAATAACACAAATATTAGAGGTGCTGAAATAAAAAGTGGAAGATTCTAATCCAGAAAACCTCTTGGAAGGTACTCTAGAACATGTATATATACATGCAAACATCTGCCACGAACGGCCATCCAAGTTTGGAAAGTTTCAAGATGTCCTCCGGTAGTAGTACCTGCAAGAAAATCCAACTTACATCAGCACCAACATAGAAATCATGCAAAAGGCAAGCAAAGAGAATCATACACATGGATTTTAATGCTGTAGATGGAGGCGTATTTTCGGAGAAGACGTTCCACGGTGTACCACTCGGAGCGATCTGATCCGTCTTGGTAACCAATACGCGGCATGTGGATTGAAGCTTTTAGAAAAGAAATGAATAACAACAATTTCAATAGAATGACAGAAACAATTGGCATATTGAGGAAACTTGTTCAGATCGAAGGAACAAAACAGAAGAAAACGTGAAGGGCCAGCAGGTATGCATATTCATGAACTAAATGTAGCAATGGTTACCAGAATGTTGCGACGCTGCAGATGATGCTTTTAATATGCAGTTCTCCAAATCTGGAAGAGAAATCTTGCTTCTGGGGACTTTCCGCCTCGGATTATAAGATTGTACAACACCCAAAGCAACCCATTGAGGAGCTTTATCACTCTCTTGTTTGTTGTCCTCTGCATTACCAAGAAGGGAAACAAACAGGAATAAGAAGACCATTTTGGGAATATAGTCCTACCTCCCCTCTTAAGCTATTTTATGTTGGATTCTATTGAGATTCCTTCTGTGAGCTTGTCAATACAGAAATGTGAAAACTCGAGCGGTAATTCGGGTAGTCAAGCTAGTTAGTTATATGCAATGAAAAAGTAGTAGAAGTAGTAAGGGGTCGGTCGGTACGACTCACATCGAATCCTTTATGTTTGTAGAAGTAACTATAATTTCTAAAGGATAACTTTCATGTAATTCACCTCTTGGTGTTTGGGTGATTTTAACTCAATTTGTCATCTAAAAAGAAAACAAATTATAGTCAAACAACATGGAGCAACTTGTATCATGATCATAGCACCGAGCAAAAGCAAAACACTGACCGAGTTTTATGAGATGAAGATCACCAAGATGTAGGTCCCTAAATTCAGAAGCTCGTTCATAGGCAGAAGGGATGCTATCAGAAAGCTTTGCCAGAGCATCAAACATTCCGCCATGCCCCCAGCTTCCAGAATCGTCAACACAACTGTGAATAGATACAATAAGTGGAACAGATAAAGATCATTGCCTCTTTTTCTCATCCCCACAAAAACAAAATAAACAAAAAGAAGCATAACAATGATTAAAAAAGGAAACTATTGTTTCTCATCCCCCTGAATAAATGACTTCGGCATAGATGATCGAAACACAGTTTTGATGACTAGAGGTTCATCTAAAAGGATGATAGATTCTCCAGTTGGTCATGATCAACAGCACAACTTCTATTACTTTCATGTTGGCTTGCAGGATGTTTTCACTTGGTTTGGAAGTTCACGGTACCATTTTTCATAAGATCTGGTCATTAATTGTGTTTTTCTAGCCTGAACCATTTTTCACTGGTAGATAATGCTTCTAGTTGTTTTAGTTATTTCAAGTCACAGCTAGTTTGGATTTGGAAAAACTATTCACTTTACACAATCGAAGAAAAGAAAACAAAAAGGCACCAAGGTTAACTTGTACGTGATAGGATAATCAAGGAATTGCCCATATTACAAAGCCATAAACCTCAAACCTGAATATGATTGTAGGCTCAGATATACAATTCAATGACGGATGTGTGCAGTCCCCATAGACAAAATGAACAGAGCCAGAATCCGAAATTGGATCACTATCAAGAGGCAAGATTGGGTCTTCAACAGATAACGAATGGTATCCAAGGGCTTCCCATTTTGCCAGTTTCTTTTCTTCTGCTTTCTTCTTTACAGCCTCAAGTTTTAGGCTCTTATCTCTAGATAAAGCTTTCCGGTTTTCCAACTCCATGATTTGGTTAGCACCAGAATGGGATGCTTCCTTGAACTTCTCTACCCAAGAACGATACGATGCCTCATCAAGGCCTGGGTCAAAATTGACCGAGGTAGTACCTTCTCGAATAGAAAGATCACAACCATTTGATAAAGTCATTGTATTGACCAAAAAGCTTGCATCATCCTTGTTTGATACTTTTTTATGGCGTACTGCAACAACTTTTTCAGCCATTGCACTGACATTTGACGCCTCAAACTCCCCTGATTTTTCATTGTCCATTTGACCTTGATCAAAAATACGTAACCCAAATATGATCGATCTCAAGTCACCAGTTTCATTCCCTGCAATTTCTTCTGTTTCCTCATCTATATAATCTTCACCAATAACGTTTTTGCTAAGTTGTAACTTTCTTTCCGCCCTACGCATAATAACCTGCATAAAGAAACTAGAATCACAAATAACTAAGACGATCACGTTTGTTTCAAATATTACGTGGCAGATCTTACTTCTTCGATAGTTTGGGCTGTAACTAAGTTTATAGACAACACATGATTTATTTGACCAATTCGATGTGCCCTTTGTAAAGCTTGCTTGTCCACCTGTGGATTCCAATCTTGTTCATAGAATATAACCTACAATATGATGAACATTAATGGATAAAAAGAAGTGAGTAATAACAATCATCTTCTTCATCGAATATATATAACCTACAATATGATGAAGAATTATGAATAAACAAAACTAAGCATTAACAATTATAAAAGCATGTGCTTGGATGAGAATGATAATACTGATGAAAATGTGTAGTCTTCTGGTTTGCATGAGAAGTGTTGTGTTAATTGAAAATTTAAGGTAGAGTACTGGCGAGAAATACATTTTAAATAGAGGGACCAGAAATGGCTATCACAAAAAACTCATAGTGACCCTCACGAGTACAAAAAATTGTTTTTCGGATCGTCCCTTGACGAAGCCTAAATCTAATGATAACCCGACTCGAGATCTATTTTTTAAAATATTGTAGCGCCTTAAAGTTCATCCAACCATTCATCAACCACTGAAATCAGAAAATTATCAGGGGTAGAGGCTCGGTTCAACGCTTACTTCCACATTGCATGCTAAAATAACTAAGATGTCGATGCCAGCAAAAGATTAACCATCATTAGTTTTGAAAAGTTAATTATTTCATTTCTGCTTAAAAATTTAGTTCATCTGAATTAAAATACCTAAATAAACTTGCTATCCACTCATAAGATAAAGGACTCATTTATTTCATATGACTTGAATTAACCCATAATTGCTAGTTACTACAGAAAATTGGCCCATTAACTTATTACCGTAACAATAGCCTCATAAAATCACTATTCTAAATTCATATAAAACATATAAAAAGTCAAAGTACGATAATTAAGTTCATATAAAACATATAAAAAGTTAAAGCTCACCGTATCAGCTGATACTAGATTCAAACCAACTCCCCCGGCTCTTGTTGAGATCAAAAAAACAAATGCATCATTACGGGTTGTTTGAGAACTCCCACTACAGTTCAAGCTGAAGCTCCTGATTGCAGCAAAACGCTCCTCGGCTCGAATTGATCCATCAAGACGCTCATAGGAAAAATTCCGCAACTCCAAGAAGTCCTAATATGTGAGGAAAATAGATGATGCTCTAACATTAATCATAAAATCATTGATAATGCTAAATGGCAACGCAAGTTAATATCTGTGAAGCTGTTCAGAGGGACCTCAAACCTGTAATATATCAAGTGTATGGGTCATCTGAGCAAATAAGAGCACACGATGTCCAGACTCATGTAGTTTCTGAAGTACTTGATCTAGAATCACAAGCTTGCCGCTAGCCTGATTAGAAGGTCATGAACCAAAAGCAATTGGAAAGTTAGAAAAGGCAGAAAATAAAGATGGAAATTCTCAATAATTTGAAACTAATGAGATATAGAACTCACATCCGCTTCTTCTAGAATCAGGCAAACGTATTTGAGATTAGAAAGTAAACCCATGCAGAAATTGTCTTGTAAGAACTTTACCGAGATCAATCACACACAAATTAACAAGATAAAAAATAAATTAATAAAAAATTACAATTTTAGCTCTTGAACTTTCTTTGTGTTTGTTCATGTCTATTCAATTCCTAAATTTTGAAACCATACAATTTAACCCTAAATTTGCCAAAATAGTTCCACTTGATCTCTTTTGTTATTTTTCCATTAGATGCAAGAAACGAAAAGCTTACCACGCACTTCACACTTTTACACTTTTATAATATTAATAATTCTGACATGACATCATAAGTATTTTAAATTTACGGAGCAGAAGTGTAACTCATCCAGAAGGTTAAACTTTAAGAAAGTATATTTTTTTTTTTTTGGTTTTTCAAAAAATGGCTACTCCCACATTCACAAATAAAGAAAGCGCAGACTACTGTCCCTTCCCCTTCTCTCTCTACCCTATAAACGCACTGACATGTAGTAACAAAATAAAGAACAAGCTACCTGAACCAGGTGCTCGCCTTCTTCATAAGGTTCAGGCTCAATACCAGGAAAAAGATAAGGATGGCTACAAGCTTTTCGAAGTTGCATCACCTGCAGAGCAAGAGCAAAAAAATTCAAACAATATTCGCAGTTACACAAGAACACCACAATACAGTTCGCCAATAGCTGTTTGACAAAAGTATCATCACTTATTTGACAATTTTAACACAAAATTTTCATCCATAAAATAATGTGAGAAGAAAAACATTAACAAAATGAAAGATAAGTTGTTAGATTTTATGCAATCATGTAGAACCTGTTGCCTTAAACTATTTCATTATAACTGAAGACACCTAAGAAGGGGCAAAAAATCAGTCACTATTCTCAGTTAACTCAAGACCAAGAAATCCTGGCACTGACCTATCGTAAACAGTCATTCACCAACCATAACTAACTGACTTAGAGTGAAGCATAGAAGTTCATGAAAATGACATACGACATTCTGTAAAGATTGGTGATTTGAGGATCCAGAAGAAAGTGCAAGTAGTTTAGGCAGCTCCTTCCTCAATATCGACATATAGACCTTTCTTTGAAGGTTAACCAATGGTACCATCCTATAGGAAAAAAGCAATCAGATATTAAACTTTAACAAATTATATGAGTATCTATAAAGCAGTTAGCACAATGCTTACACTGTTATCTCAGTAAGTGGTGGGAGCAACAGAACTCCAGATTCACTAAGCTTGGCTTTTGTTCTTCTCAAAAGGAAGGCTGATAGTATATACTTTAAACTCTTAAATTGCCCATTTCCATGAATTTTTCCATTACCTATAAATAACAAACAGATGCACTTATGGATTTAGAAAATACATGGCTTCCTTCTACCTCTTCCAACTGTATGATCCAAATTGAAATGATGTCCTGATCATTAAACAAACAAAACTGAAACGAACATAAGCGGCCTCAAATAGAATTAGAATTTGTACTACTTCAAGCAACAACAAACCTAGACATGTAACCATTTAGAGGAAGAGAAGCCTAAGTCATTCTTATGTTATAACTATTTTTCATAACTCAAAATAGAGGTAAAATGCCAGAAAAAGTTTTAAAATATCATTTCCAACAAAATTCCTCTTTTTTATTTACTTTTGTCATGCTTAATATAATTTGTAACTCAAAAACTTTATATATAACATATACATTCATTCTTTACACTAACATGCGTTATCCCAGAGGACTTGCAAAAAAATGTTATGATAGAAGGAAATATGGATCACCAGAAGTAAGATCTCCAGCTTCCTTGAACGTAGAAATAAACTGATCCAGTGTTCCAAACACTGAAGGCATGCAGAAATGCAATAAGGCCCAAAGTTCACTGAGATTGTTCTGAATAGGAGTTCCAGTCATCAATAACCGCCTCGGGATAAGAAAACGCTCTTTAAGTACATTGTACAGAACCTGTTTTCACATAATATTACACATCTATGCAATAAGAACTGTAAAAGAGGAAACACTTCATTTCCAATCAGCAAGTAACTTCAAACTCAAGAAACTAGCTGACTCAAATAATTAGATGTGTGAACTTATCTACTCTAAAGAAACGAAGCTTTTCATTGAAGAAATGAAAATAGACTAATGCATAAAAAATACAAACTTCAGAACAATTGAAAAGAAAACGGAAAATTACAAAATTTACAAAGAAGAATTAAATGCATCCCCACTCAAGTAAATATCCTGTAAAGAAAAGGTATCAAAAAGCTTGGAGAGAGAGCATCATGAAGAAGCTTTCATTCTTGCAGAATTCAACCATCAAACCAAGGAAGTTGTTTGTTTTCAAACATTCTCAAATTCCTCTCCACCAATAATTCGGAAGGAAGTTGAACTTATCTACTCAGAAGGAAGAATATTAGAAAGATTACCTTAACAAGGTCATTTTCCACGCATAGTAAAACTCAATTATGTAGCCATTTGTAGACAGATTGACCAACATAAAAAAAAATAAAGGTTCTGATATTTAAGTTCTGTTTGTAATCTTATAAAAAGTGAGAGTGAGAAAAAAACCTCGATGATATTTCATTTATTAGACATGTACATGGGAACCGTAGTTAATAAAATGTATAATTAGGGTAGTATATGTTCAAGAGTAAAAAGAGGGAGTATAGGATGCCTTTACGTACACTTGAAGGGTTTTTAAGTCTCTGTGCTTCATCAATGACAGCATATTGCCAGGCTATCTGAGAGAGGAAGTCTTGATCTATCAATGCTATGTCATACGTTGTCAACAGAACATCAAAAGGGAACACGACCTGTCAATATCTCCAAATGCTTAACAAATAAAAAACACACCATATTCAATTCAAAAGACCTTTTCTTCAAGAGAACAATGCATATAATGCCATCAACTCACATCAGTCACTGATTGTGATGTTGCATGCTCAAAAATGCGCCTGCGAGAATTTCGTCGAGTTTCTTTATCTCCAACATACTGAAGAACATTTAGATGCGGAGCAAATCTGACAATCTCAGATGCCCAACCATCTGTAACGCTCAAAGGACATAATACCACTATGGAAAATCATAAACAAAAAGGCATGTCAATCAAATCTGTGCTCAAGTAACTGATCCAATGTTTTTAAAATCAATAATACAATACAACAGAAAGATGTTCTCACAAAATGGGCCAGGTGATATCTGATGGACCTTCAAGTAACTCAGAAAAGAAATAGCTTGCAATGTCTTCCCCAGCCCCATCTGTTCATAACTCATTTAAATAGGTGCATAGAAATAAAAAGGAAAAAAATGAATAAAACTTTAGGAAGGAAAAATCATCATTGTTATTTTTAAAAATGTAATGAGTAAACCAAAATGAGAGAAGAGACAAGGGTATTGTTATTCAGGGAAAAATCACATATTGATTTTTGTTAAGAAGTAGACCAACGATAAGCTTATGAAGAAAACCCTTCAAACTACAGGAGGAAACCCATGAATCTTTGAATAAGGAGAGAAGCTTGTGCTAACACTTTAGTGAATATGTGGAGATAATCTTCATTTGGATAGTAAAGGGGACAAACCAAGCCGAACCAAATTATTGAAACAATAAGTAAGCCAAACTTAAAAGAAGGATCACATGACCAAAAGACATTCCGGATCGACAAAGGACACCAACATTCTCCCTACTAATGACCATATGGATTTTCCACTAGATCTAAAAGGAGGGATGTGTACACCATCTAATATTAAGGAAAAATATAAATTTATGCTCAATCATGTCATTGAGAAACTTAACTAATGTATCCTATTCGATTGTCAGATTGTCATGTTGTCACCAACCGTGTTGATGAAAAATCATAAATTTCATATAATGATATGGTATAGTGTATTCTCTACTTACGTACATAATTTTCTCATTTCAAAACATCACCTCACTTTACTTTAAGGATATCTTTGTGCATTTCTCACCTCCAAGAAAATAAAAAGTTTGCAATATGTGAATCAACATTGGACATCAAAAGTGCCCAAGCACAATCCCAAATCTCAAGGATTATTTTCAAGCATAAAGTGCATTGAATGTAATGCAACCGCACTCCAACATCGTGATGGTAAAGAAACCATACCTCATCACCTGGAGGAGAAAAAAAGGTCATTATCAACATGCACTTTCTAACCAAAACGTAAGTAAAAAACTGCATATAAAATTCAAAAAAGGAAAAGAATCACTATTGTAAATTACGTGCAGAAGAATTTCATTCAAAACTCCAGGTTCGTGCAAAGTAGAATTCCCTTCAACATATTAACCCACTCTACATTGAATTGAAATATTAAGTACTTTCTAAATGTTCAAAAAAGCAAGCAAAAGACAGCGCACAAACAGCTAAAATCCTACAAGATTGAAAACGCAAGCATTAGAAAAGAAAATAACTTCTTAACAAAGATTGTGCACACAAAATTTATACGACATGCCACCTTTACAGTGCATCAATATTTAAAATTAGAGCAAAATTCAATATGCCAACAAAAGTTGAATTTTAAACAGGTTATTTGCTTTGCGAAGTTGCAACAATCAGAGAATATGATTACAAACGGATAGGAAAGCATGGATGAAGTACAAAGTACGCAGAAACTTTAGCATCTACAGCCTTGAACAGAGCACATTTGAGCCGAAGATACTGAACTCATTACGGTAAATTTCTAGAACTCGAAGACCAAAATAGCGTTGTCAGAAATTTTTATTATATTCAAGATTTGGATATGAATATAGAGTAAAATTTCAGTCAAAACATTGGATATCAAATTAATACAACTAGGAGAAATGATGAAATAAAAAATATAGAATCAACGTCAAAATTCTTGTCAGTTGGCTACTGCGACTTGCTGTAGAGTCTGTTCAAATTAATATGGCTTCTTAAATCAGAAGATTTTCAAATCGCGGCGGCTAGTACGAAATGAAGGGATAATCTAACAACACAGAGTATATACGACCTTATTAGGTAAGATTTGTGTCAACCAGTTTCAAATTGTACATGAAAAAAAATTCGGTTTCGTCAACTCATTCAACATCAAAAGTTCCTAAAAGTGAGATGGAAGTATAACCAAGAATAACGTTGACGCCAAGATGATATCGCCGAATTAGCCATAGAACTCCTTCGACTTGGTAGGGCTTCAGAGTCGCCGTAACTCCGACGTCCGGGCAGGACTTCGGGGAGTTGTCGGACTCAGAATCATGGAGAAGTATGAGCTTCGCCGCTGCTTTTAGCCTTCTCTCGTAATTCATCACTCTCTCAAATCCTCACCAAAAGGAAACGTGCCAATGGAGACTCGACTACAACTTCAACTGCCGTGCGGCGGCGCACGGAGTGTTCTCCGATCAAAGGTCGCCGCGATTAATGTCAGTCTGTCTACAAGGATCAAATTTCATTCAACACGTTGCGCGCCAAAGTTGAGACATTTTTCTTCCCAAAGAAGTTTTTTCTTTTTTCTCTATTTTATATTAAAAAAATATATTAGTTTATAATTTTTTATTTATCGAACTCCTAAATTATTAATTTTTAGTTTAAATTAAAACTATAAAATTAATTTTCTTACTTTTATTTATTCGGTTTATTCAAGTAACCGAACCCGACCGAGTAGCCTTCGGTCTAACATTTTCTAAATCGAACCGCTAACCCGATCCACTAAAACCGAACCGGCATATTATTTCAAATTAATATAAATGAGAAAAGAAAAGGTTAAAGAACAAAAAAAAAAAAAAAAAAAAAAAAAAAAAAAAAAAAAAAAAAAAAAAAAAAAAAAAAAAAAAAAAAAAA